AAAAAATACATTTTGGTAATTTGTAACGTTATAAAAGAGTTTACTACTACAATTTAGTGTCGGAAGGTATTATATTTCGGTGAATTTATTATGCGACTGATTACCATTTACAGAACAATATATCAATATTATTATTATTTGATGGCTTGACTTGATCGCTTAATGAAACGTTTCCATTTGTCCCTTTCATTAAAATACCGATGGTATAGTCCACCTATTGCGGTAAATTAATAAAGAAATACTACACAATTTAGACGCGAGATTATTGTTACGAGGCGGGATCACATTCAAGTAATTGTTAAGGGTTAGCTACTCAAGGAAAAGGAGAAAAAGTAATTTACAATTCCTTGCTTTCTTCCGACATTTTCTTTCCTCTGCCTTTGATGTGCATTAAAACGAGTACACAATATCATTCGTGCTTGACATTGTTTGATCTGACAAGCTATAGAATTCCAGAAAAAAAATGAACAGACAGAAAGAGATTGTGTAAGTGTTTAGCAACAATTCTTTTATGCGCAATTGCAGGACTACAAATTTTCTTATTAATCAATGCCAAAAAATGGAGAACTTCCCACTTGCCACATATTATTCTTGCTCTACGATTATTCCAATATTTGTGTAATACTTGTCTTAAAGTGTGCTGATTCCCTGATGTAACGTGTGAGCAAAAAAAAGTTAGATGTGACCCAGGCACACATTTTTTTTTAATAAACCGATGATCCAAAATGAGTCGTTTCAAAAGTTTAAAGTTCGAGCTTCTGTTGTATCTTTTCATCAAAAAACAAAATCAAAAATTCCCGGTTTTGGGGTACTGGTAACTGGTCCAATCTAAAGCAAGATTTCTTGGAAACGTGGGATAATATTATAAGAAACCAAACCTTAGGTTGCTTCGAGAGTTTCATCTACATGTCTTCCCTTCGGTTTCGAGCATTTCTTGATATTAGTTTATATTTCGATCCTCGTTTCGATCTGTTCCTACTAACCACTTTCGAATATAGAGTATAGAATACTAGGTACCTATACCTATTCGTATCAGTTTTTTTTTATTGCAGAAATGACTCACAGAAATTTTTTTAACCCAAAATCACCCTGAAACCTATATTTCATGCCTACTTTCTGTCTGGAAATTTGAGTTTCCATGACAGAGGCAGAGCATACTAAGTTTCCTGCCGCTTGTCACTTTACTGGCCGCACATATCACTTTATCGGCCGCATCTTTGACATTTCCAAATGTCTATAATGAGTCCTGTCATCACTGACAGATTGACATTAATCAAAAGTTCTACATAAAAATTGAAATTTTATATGAAAATATACGATTTCGGGTAAAATTTAATACAAAACTCGTCAGCAAAATGACACCTGAAATTAAATTACGCGGGCTCGTACTTCAATATTTCCTCGCCAGTAATGTGTCACTTTTATATAAATAACTATTTATTATCCTGCATTAGAATCGCAGATAAGCACCCCTGGGCGTACGAAGGGTTGCTAAGTAACTAAATTCAAATACGACGTATGAAACTGTCTTCTGGAGCTGAACACTGTAAATGCAAAAGATTTATTTGGCTTATACATGTATATTTGTATTGAAGCTTTCACAAGCGCACGTAATTTAAGGTAAGTAGTAAGTGATCTATTTAACCCTAAAGATAGGTAGTGAAACAAATGCATAAAGTCACTAGATATAGAAAGTACCGCAATCATCCGCCATTTTTGGGCAAATTTGCTGCCAACTTAAAAAAATTGACAAATAAAATCTGAATAGCATTTTTTTATAACCTAACTTCATAGTACTGTCATGTTTTATAAAAATATATACAGATATCTCCAAACAGGTGGAACAATCCCTAACATTAAAGTTACTAGAATCTGGTAATTTCCGCCATTTTTGGGCAAAAATCATGCGTTCTCTCTCTAACACACGAGCCTAATGGATTGCGGTACTTTCTATATTTAGTGACTTTACAAATGCATATGTAATAAAAATAATTTAAAACTTAAACAATTTCTACAGGAAGAGCTACTCATATGAAACTTGTAGGTACTGTAATTTTATGAATGAAAACCAGTGGCCAAATTCTTGACAGAACAGCTTCCTACCTCAAAGCAAATATTAAAAAAAAACGTGTTTGACAGTCTTACATCGTTTATGCTTATACACTGCCAAAAGTCATATAATTTGCTGTATGTGCCGCTTTATTAGTATTACTAAACACTAAATTGTTCCTACAGAAAAATTTTTTTTCACTACTAGCGTCTGATGACATGATTATTAACCTTTTTTCCACTTGTAAAGTAGGCTTTCTCGGCATTTGTTCAAAGTGGTTAATAATGTGGACATTATTAACTAGTAGTCAATAATGAGAACTGTCACATTGTCACTTTTAGAAAACACAACCCGAAATTTCGCCCAATAAACGTTAGACAAGTTCTCTAAAATGAATAATTGCCACTATCCGCCATTTCCAGAGAAATTACATACCTAAAATTATCACATTTTCATAAAAATCAAACGAAATTACTCTTTGAAAATATCTCAATGACAGAACAAAATACGGCCTGTTTGACTTGTACTTCAACGTACTTGATTGACATGTTAAATTAAGAAATAAAAAATT